TGATTAAAAAAAAGAAAAATTAATCCAATTGCAAGAAGATACCACAATGCAAGCCTTAAAACAGTCTTCCTTATTATGTAGGACTTTGGGACAGGAACTCCCATAATCCACAGCCTAACTCATCCAGAAAGTCCTATGCTGGGAAATGCTGTCTTTGGGAACATCAGTATATCTTGGTTTTCCCTGCCTTGGAATATTTTGTTTGGATCTTTGCCATGAAAAAAAAAATTATTAAAAAATAAATAAAACCAGCTTTTACAGGATCAGTTATTGGCTGGTCTTATTTAGATTTATTGTAGAACATCAGCTGTTCTTCCAGTCTATGACTCTATGATGTTCTGATACCCTTCCTTTTTCCAAGTTTGGTCAGAGTGGTAGTCCTCACTTAATGACCACAACTGGGGCCTGCAATTACATCACTCAGTGACATGGGTATTAAACAAAATATCACATGACTGGACTATTAGACTTATAAATGTCTTATAAAGCCACCAGTGTCTCTGCAGTCATTAAACGAATCACCAAGTCATTAAGCACAACATCACATGACCACCATTTGTGACTTACTGCCAACTTCTCCAGCTGGCTGGTGAAGCTTGCAAACAGTGGTCCCAAGATGCTGCAGAGATCATAAATTTGAGCTGTAAAGATACCTTTTCAGCATTATTATAAATTTGAACAGTCATAAATAGGACAGGTGTTCAATGTGGAGTATCTATATTGCAATCCACAGATAAAGCTAGGATGTAAAAAGAAAGAGGGCAAGGTAATCACCATATTATTTGGAGTTCATTAACATCTAAATTTGCGTGTATGTTGAATTTCATTTATTTTATTCTTAGCAATAGTATGAAATCACTTTTGTCTTGAGAGCATGACTATCTCTGTGAAGTTGAGAGGGAAGAGGTGTTAAGTTCACAGGCTATTCGGAAGCAATGACCATTGCTATACATCTCCATAAGATCAAAAGACATTGCTTAATGGGCCTGTTAGAGTAGAATAGAATAGAAATAGAATAGAAATAGAATAGAAATAGAATAGAAACAGAATAGAAACAGAATAGGAATAGAATAGGAATAGAATAGGAATAGAATAGGAATAGAATAACAGAGTTGGAAGGGACCTTGGAGGGCTTCTAGTTCAGCCCCCTGCTTAGGCAGGAAACCCTACACCACTTCAGACAAATGGTTAACCAGTCTTTCCTTAAAAACTTCCATTGTTGGAACATTCACAACTTCTGAAGGCAAGTTGTTCCATTAATTAATTGTTCTAACTGTCAGGAAATTTCTCCTTAGAAGTTTGCAGTTATGTAGGAAGGTTCTCCTTTTGTTTTAAGCAAAGCTTTGCTGCTACCAACATTTGTGCTGATGAGTAAAATGAGTATTACTATTTTTTTAAGTGGAGAGTTAATTTCAATAAATACGCAATTGTCTGTTATTTCCTTCCTAGTTTAGTTCATCTTGTTCATCATTGTTCTATATCAAGGTGAGGATCCATGGCTTTTTTATGACTTGTGGACTTCATCTCTCAGAATTCCCGAGCCAGCAAGGGAGTTGAAGTCCACAAGTCATAAAAGAGCCATGGATCTTCACCCCTGTTCTATAGGAAGAACTTTGTAAGGTTCTTGACTTGTTAAATTTAATTCTGGAGGAACTTTCAAATCGGTCCGGCTAAAGATGTAACGTACATTTGACAGACACCTTATGAGACATTTGCAACATTATGGACCTTATGAAGTGACATACTGTAATAGCACTAGACACTTTGTGATATGTGAGCCTTTACAAAGGGTTTTTAATTCTTTAAAACTAGTAAAAAGTAAGTGAGCCGAGGTGGCGCAGTGGTTGGAGTGCAGTACTACAGGCTACTTCAGCTGATTGCTAGCTGCAGTCCAGCAGTTCAAATCTCACCGGCTCAAGGTTGACTCAGCCTTCCATCCTTCTGAGGTGGGAAAAGTGAGGACCCAGATTGTTGGGGGCAACAGGCTGACTCTGTAAAGCGCTTAGAGAGGGCTGTAAAAGCACTATGAAGTGGTATATAAGTCTAAGTGCTATTGCTAAAAAAACATCAAGATTTTGCCCCTTCAGTTTGTAAATATTTTCCATTTCATATTGTTGTCCCACTCTAGAAATCTTCAAAGTCTCCAAGTACCTTTTTCTTAGCTTATGAGTATATTTCCCTTTTTATTTTATTTTTACAGAGAAAACAAAGCCCTGTTCCTTTCTTAAATGAGAGGGGGGGGGAAATACACTTTAGTCTATACTGGGTCTTGGGCTGTAATAGGGCCAAAGTAAAACCTTGGTCTATGGGTAAATGTATTTAGTTCCTGTAAAAGTAAAATCTGACATTATTTCTTTAACTCACCAGATGGGCAAACAGCTTAAACTATAGGCCACATGGTTAGCGGAAATCTGTACTGCTAAGTGTGAGAGCATACTTTTTCATTATTTGGTAATGCATTTATTTTGCTACCGAAATCCTGTTAGCCATTTAAACAACATCAACTGTACAGTATTATATGCAGGGAAAAGTCTGGAAGAGATATTTCTTTGCTATTTGAACGTCATTATAATAGAGTGGGGCATACATCTGCAAATAAATGTACTGCAAAAAAAATATTTAAAATATATGAAAAGTGAATTCCTCTTTATAGGTACAATCGTGCTTACAGATACAGCTAAAGGAATGTTTTGATCCAATGCAAGTCAATGACACATTACTTTAAGAGATGGGCCAATCAACAGTTATATTTTCTTTTTAATATAGGAGCAAGGGGTTCAATCTAGAGCAAGGCTTTAATCTACAAGGAAGGCAAAATCTTCCGTAACTCTTTGCTCTTCTCCTATGTTCTTTATTGAAATCCCACTAAACTGCCACTTATATTGCCTTTAAGTAATCCACTGCTTAGATGAATCATTTTTGGAGCAAAGTAAATAAATCCATGGAAAGTATAATGTAGATCACATTGAGTATTCAAAGATAAAATATATTTCCCTGCCGTAGTAGCAATCAAGAGTGGAGCCTTTATATCCGTGATGGCGAACTTATGGCACATGTGCAAGAGGTGGCACACAGAGCCCTCTCTGTGCGCATGCGCACCGTCACCAGTTGTTCTTCTGGTTTCCGGCGCATGCATGCGCGCTGGCCATCTGATATTCATGCGTGCCGGAATCCCAGAAATCCGAAGACCAGATGTCTCCAAGTTTCCGGGGCTCCAGCGCGCATGCACATGCTTTCCAATTTGGACAACTCAGTGCCGAAAAGGTTCACCATCACTGTTCTACATTATAGATAAAATTAGTTATCTCCCTCTTTCATAGGGTGGGGTGCAGGAGAATATCTTTTAACTTTGACTCTATGATATGGGAAATGTTTGGAGCGGTTTGTTTTACATTTAGCAAATGGAAAAACATCCAAGCAATGATTCATGTTTGCTTGTGTGAATATATAAAACACATTATAGGATTTTATGCTTTGGGAGTGATGTTGGATTTATATTTATTGAGAAATATAACAGGGCAGCCAACTTCCCAAAAGCATATTTCAATGTCCCTTGGCAAAAAAACCAGCATGCCAAAATAGCCAAAAAAAAAAATTAAACAAACCATAAAATTGAAACTTAGAGCTGAACAAAAGTTTTATATCTTTCAGGACACACTCAAAACTCTAGAGTAGGTAACATTTCTCTCTCTTGGTTCACACAGGATGAAATTCCCTGTGTCACTGAAAATATTGCAGATATGAGAAATATGTGTGGATCCAGGTGGGCTTAAATGGCAACTTGTGGGCCAATTGAGATAGATTACAATTGTGATGAGTAGAAGATTTATTTAGGGGTGTTTCTGTTGCATTGCTGATAACACTCCAGATTTTCACTTTCAAGCAAAATGGAAATCTCTGCAGATGTGTGGTTATCTGACAATTCATCTGTTAATCTTTACAGCTGATTTTGAATGCAAGCTGGTGAATGTAGACGATACAGTCTTCCTATTATTCAATAAGAGCCTACTTCCTCTATATGAAAGACTGGAGAATTTGCCTCAATGTATTGGACAAATCACCATATTTTTATAACTCAAAACTGTTGAACATGCATGGATGTCCAGCTATCATACCACCAATTTATCAACGAGATGTTTGTTTCCTTTTAACACAAAAAATGTTGAAATAAACATACAGTTTTTCCCCTCTTACTAATAGAATTTCTTACTGTATACTCCCAAAGCTAAGATAGAACTTTTCTTTTTTCTTTGTTTTAGTTCTTTTCGTTTTCCAATATTACTTTCACCATCTTTGAGAGATGGCCAAAAGAATATCACCAAAGCTCAAACGGGCAAAAGAAAATAGGCTGTAGCCAAAGTCTTGTTCATAATACAGAGCCTCATGGATAATAAGGGCAATATTAATAGCCACACTAAGGAAATCTCATTCTGAAAATCGGAGTAACTGCATCAGAAAGAACTGAAGAAGATTTCTAGGCAACAGGGGAAATAAATCAAAACATTCAGCATCAATGTTGTATTGACCCATCTCTGAATCCATACAACGCGAAGGTGGACCCAAACCAACGATGCATTAGCAAGCAAAAGATTATGATGCCACCACAAAGGTCAAAAGGATTACAATGTTCAAAGCATCAAGCCAAAAAGGGAATGGGGAAAGTTTAAAAAAAAAAAGCTTAAAGAAACACATCAGCCATTTTCTTAAAAGCGTTAACACAGATAAAAGTAGAGTAGTAAAATTGGACGTGACAATATTTGCTGTATATTTGCTTCCCCCCCCTCCCAATCATCATCTCTGAATTTCAGATGACTCCAATAATAATTCCACGCAGCTCTACAATTCGGGGTTTTGGGAGATCGTCTGTTTTTGTTGTTTTTTTTGCTTCTAGCTTTGTGTTCCTCTTGCATATTCTGTATTTGATTAGAAAACTGCAGAATGAGCCTGCGCGGGATGGGAAATGAATAATTCAATGAAAATTGCAAATGGCATAAGGATACAGTCCCTTCCTGGAAAGAGGATTTTATGGCGCACCATTTCTCCCATAATGCATCCTACTGACCATATATCCACTAGAACGGTAGAGACAGGGAAATGAAGAGAGAAAAGGGGTGGGGAGTGGGGAGAAGGAACAGGAAATGTTAACTAAAACACTTTGGATCCTATAGGAGGGGGAAAAAGAGGAGGTTTATCAGAGAAAGCACAATTTTATGTACCTTCCACCAAACATTTCTTTAAAAATGCAGATACACACACACACAGACAGACAAAATACCCACCCCCATGCACAATTACAGGTAGTCCTCGACTTACAACAGGTCATTTAGCAACCATTCAAAGTTACAACCGCACTGAATTTAGTGACTTTAGTGTTTTTCACACTTACGACTATTACAGCATCCCCATCCAAATTCAGATGCTTGGCAACTGACTCATATTTATGGCGGTTGCAGTGTCCCAGGGTCATTTGATCACCTTTGGATGATCAGCAGAGTCAAAGGGGAAATCACTTCACAACCCTAACCCTAACCCTAACCCTGACTTAACTACTGCTATGATTCACTTAAGAAATGTACCAAGAAAGGTCGTAAAAGTGGAGCAAGGCTCCCTTGACAACTGTGTCGCTTAGCAGCATATATTTTGGGTTCAATTGTGGCCATAAGTTGAGGACTACCTGTATTTCATAAAAAGCAGTAGCTCGGAGGTCCACGAAATCAGAAAATACCTACTTCGTCAAATGTCCATTCCCCTTTACTGAAAGAATGGAAATATAATTTCAAAATCGTTGACACTTGGTATTAATGTTCCACTTTCTTATACTGTGTGCCATAGATAAAGACCTTATTTATTCAGAGATGAAATCTTATACCCACTTTTCTGGGAATAAAGCCTTCTAAATTCATCAGGACTTATTTTGAACGTGGATAGCATGGCATGGAGCTCCAATCATTTCTAATTGACCCTATGCAGGGAGAATCAAACCTGGTAATTCTATTTCACCCAGGTCACTCCATTTAAACGGTACCAGAAAAGTTGACGTATTCTCATTACACGTTCTTGTTTATTCCCCTGCACAAGGAAATTACAAAGTAAATGGATTTGGGACGTGGGGATGAGAAAAAGCTAATCATTCCAAAAGGGCTACTTAATAACATTTGGGAGGATTAATTTTTTTAAAAAAACCTGGGTCAATGGTTGCCGTGTGGTGAAGATGTAGCTTTAAAAAAGGAACATTTTATGAGCTTTTGATTCCCGCTATGTTTACTAATAGCCTTTATGTGGAGCCGTTTCTAAGCCACATTTATAAGTTTCCAGCTACTACAATCGCTAAGTCAGACAGTTTTATGTATCTGGATAAGCGATACGGGGAGGATGTCCTAAGTCCTTTTTTTCCTGTGAAATTGCAAAGGTATTCAGAGTGCTCTTCTTTTAGCATATTGTCACTTTGCTAAGAATGCCTATAAATTATACAGCCAACAGGTTATAATCACCTTGTTCCTTCTCAAACCTTTTTTTAAAATTGTCTTTCTCTCAGAATGATGATTGTACAGGAATAAGCCGCATTATAGGGGCCCTTCAGCTTTATGTGTCCACGAAAGAGCAAAGAGTTGTTTCCATGCAGCCGATGAGGTTCAGTGTTTTAAAGGCCTCAGCTAATCTGGTAAGATCATCCTATTAGCCATACCGCGAGATTTTATAAACCGTTGAGAGGCGGGTTGGATGCTTTGTATTTTAACTGATGGGGGTGCTTTAAAAATATTTTGGGTGGTTCTTTGATCACAACAGAGAAACCTAAAAGGACCCACAATGTAGTTAAGGAATGGACAGAGAGAGATTTATAGAAAACTAGTTAATAACCTGGCGTTGCCCAGGTATTTATTTATAGGGGGGAAATGTCCGGACCAAACATAATTTCTAATGTTGGATTTTTCTCCTTACCAGAGGGAGCCCCCTTGTGGAGTACTGTGAAGCCGTTACCATGGCAACTCCACTGCGCTGTACAGTAGAATCCATTTTACAGCAGAAAGTAGAAGCCATTTTAAGGCACAACAGGCTGTATCTTAGCAGAACACACACAGGTGTGTTAGGGGTGTCTTACCCCCACAGTATTTGTTTCCAGAGAGTAAGTCATCTGTGGACCAAGTTTGGTTGAAATTGCTCGAGGTGTTCCAGAGTTATACTGGAACATACACACACACAGCCATTTTTATGTATATAAGAAGATAGAAGATATAATCTTTAGGTCTGCTTTTCAGATTCATTGTATGAGTGGTAACTAATTATCAAGTGGTCCTTGGGAAGGAACCGAGACAGAAGGCAAATCAACAATAATCTTCCCCCTGTGGGTCAGTCACACCCAAAATCAGCGATACTTTTAATCAGTAAGAAAAATGGAACTCCTCAAAATGTTCAGCTGAAGACTAAATCAAGAGATATTCCATAGTAGGCCATTGATTTAAGTTGAAATGAATAGACAAATACAGAAGCAACTTTTGCTATGGGTACTTTTTTAGGTGAAGTTATCATGAGAAGCAGAGTTTAATTAAGAGCCTGGTATTATTTCTAATATTTCTTTCTATTCCTTCCCTAAGTAATTTTTCATTAATAGGTACTCCAATTAAACCCCTAGTCCATAATTACAGATGAAAAATACAGGGGTCAGGCAGTTAGAAAAGACTTCACAGACAAGGACAGGATTGCCCATGATCCAGTTTAAAGAAATTTAAGGGACATGTGAAATATGATGGAGTAATTATTCATCTTTCTATCTCTGTTAGATATAAAGCAAAAAAACAACAACTCTACATCAATATATTTAGCAATGATAGGACTACATTAGGGGATGTGTCTGATATATGGTACCTACCGCATTCCTCAAGAAAGACATGGCTTCCATTTTGAGTCAATTTTAGGTATCCGAACTGGTACTGGTAGATTTGGTTCCAACTAAAACTAGAATTTCCTATCACTATCAAGCCTTCTTACCATTTTTATCTTAAAATGGTTTTCCCTGGAAAGTATACCTAGTTAAAGGCATTGCCAGTATGGAATTGAGTCCAACCAACATTGTTTTTATATTATACATAATGATGATGGCTTTATAGAGCAAGGGTTTCCAAACTTGGCAACTTTAACACTTATGGATTTCAGTTCCTAGAATTCCTCATCCAGCCATGATGGCTGGGGAATTCTGGGAGTTAGTCCACAAGTCTTAAAGTTGCCAAATTTGGAGATCCCAGTTACAGAGGGTCATTATATGAATACCTCCTACAAACCGGAGATATAACATGATTGTCTCAACATAGGATAGTCATAGATCAGGGATGTCAAACTGGCGGACCACAGAATCGATGCATCATGCGTAGGCCACGCCCACCCCAATTCCGCGAATGGGAGAAATGTCACAAAACATCACATGACGGCAACGTGATGCAGCAAGTTTGACGCCCATGTCATAGATTTCTTTACCTATTAACTTTATCCTATCCTGTTGCCTACTTTTCTGTCTAATGGGGAGGGGATTTCAAATGAGTGATGTCAAGACTTGGAGAGTCCTGTCCACTTACAGATGTCACACTTTCCCAGTGATAAGTAATATAGTGTGTGCGGAGGGTGTTGTTGTTCATTACAGGTGCACACACAACATAATATTCAGGCTGAAATCCAACTATTTTAGCAATATGAACCCACCATGAAAAAGGGCTAACTTATTCTATCAGTAACATCCATGGTATGCCTAGTAATTATTTTCTAATTCTCTTCTAATCTATTTTCTTTTCCTTTCTGCTTCTTCTCTTTTTTTGCATCCTTGGCAAAGAAACAAATTGTTGTGGAATCAAGCTATTCTTTTTATTAACCAAAACAAATCTGTATAAAAAGTTTCATTTAGAGGACAAGATGGACAAGTCTGAAAAAGCAAGTATTTTAAAGGGAACAATAATTTAGGAACCTTGGGAACAGGAGGTAAGCAAATAAAGGTAAAATATATTATCCATAAACTTTCATCCAGAAAAATGAAAGCATGGAATGGCCCTAAAAAGGCAAATAGCACAATGGATGGACATTAATTTAAAATAAATGACATTCCTTCCAAAAATTTAAGAGGACTACTTAATATTTTACCTCCCATAGACCGATTAGATCTCCCAGGTTAGGTCTCCTCCGGATTCCATCTGCCAGCCAATGTCGGCTGGCGACTCCCCGGGGGAGAGCCTTCTCTGTTGCAGCTCCAGCCCTCTGGAATGATCTCCCCGTCGAGATCCGAACCCTTACTACCCTCCTGGCCTTCCGCAAAGCCACCAAGTCCTGGCTGCTCCAGCAGGCCGAAGAGCTTGTGAAACATCCAGCCCCACGGAAACTGTGAATGTTGCATTTTTAAAAAAATGTTGTCTTTGTCTATTTAGCCTCCTTCCCTTGTCTATTGTGAGCCGCCCGGAGTCCTTCGGGAGTGGGCGGCATACAAGACAAATAAACTAAACTAAACTAAACTAA